GCCAAAACTAGGGGTTGTAGCACCCCGCCACACCCCTCAGACAATAGTATTCGTCCTGCTTTTCCAAGCCAAAATTTTAACCATTAATCACGTCGAATAATATACAAATAAGTTTGGTAAAAATAAACTAAAATTGCGGATTTGCTAAAAACCCATGCTGAGCGCTGGCAAAATATTACCTGGAGGAACTTTGGTATGCCTTGATTTACAAGAAACAAACAGGGCAAAATGTAAAAATTCAATGAATTTCTCAAATTTAAAAATGCGCAATGTAATTTATGGTGCCGCAACTGAAAGATATTTGAACAAATTATTTACGGCAATTTGCATATTCCAAGTCCGTGCCCTTCTGGCCATTGTTCGATCAGTGTATCCATCATCGGAATAACTTTAACCTGTGTCAAGATTCCCCCGGTATAGTTTATTTGTTCTCGAGATCCTTCGATGCTACTCTATGCTATTCTACGGTTGACTATTACTGTCTATTTTAATATAATGGGGGGGGGGGTATTCAGGGTATTCTTCTCCATATAGTGTCGATTTCAAGAGCTTTTTGATTCGCATATAATGCTGACTTGTAATCTTTCATCTCGTGTTGTGTGACTCCAATATTGTAATAACTGTTAGCTGTTGCAGCATGATCTTTTCCGTAAATTTTAATCTGATTTCAAGCGCTTTTTGATATGACTCTAATGCTCATTTGTACTCTTTTATCTCATGTTGTGTGACTCCAATGTTATAGTAACTGTCAGCTGTCTCAGGATAATCTTCCCCACGTAGTCCCAATCGAATTTCAAGAGCTTTTCGCTTTGACTTCAATGCTGACATGTAATCTTTCATATCATGTTGTGCGTATCCAATGTTGTAATAACTGTCGGCTGTTGCAAGGTCATCATCTCCATACACTTTCAATCTGATTTCAAGAGCCGCTTTTTCATGGGATTCTAACGCTGATTTGTAATCTTTCATCTCGTATTTTCCCGCGTATTTTCTCTAAGCAGGGGCGATTATGTTCATGATCTGCAGTTGCGCCGCTGCGTGAGGGAAAAAATAATCTTGGCACTTTTATCAGCAGGGCTTCGCGGTCAGAGTATCAAAATTTATTTTCGTATTATACAGAAAATGCGTCGGGCAGTTGAAGCTACAGAAATGCAGGTACATTTTAATTTTATTGCGAGTGTTGTTTACTCGGTAAGAACTGTTTCAAATTTACATATATGGGCACGAGAGGTCCGAAAGATAGGGAGAGATCCGAACGAACGTACGAAAGCAATGCACACTGTAAAAACAGCATAACTAATTTATTTGGTTCCCTCAGATAAACAACCAATTTCAGTTTAGTTGTTTTTACAGAAATGAAATTAATCAAAAAGGGATCGATCTAAGACAACCCATTTTATGATGCATGGTGGTGGAGAACTGGCAATTGTAGTCATTGCGCCGAAAGGCCCGCGCCTAAACATATTCCTGAACACATTTCACAGAGTCTGTCAGGCAGACAAATACAATCTGTTCCGCACATGCAACTAAAACGAGGGCTTTTACCCACGTTAATTATGACTGGATGATATCAAAATCCGTCGCATCGATCTCAATTTTTTCTCCACATGTAAACGACAAACCTCGAATCCTTTCTAAATTGTGCTGATATTGCAATCCTCCCTCATGGGGAAAAACCTCAACCCACACGGCGAAGGCAAATACTGGAGGCATATGCGATTTTTGAACTTATATATCTGTTAAAGTGCATGCATATTAAAATTTATAAAAGAGCTTCCTACAGATGTATGTTGTGCAATCGTAATTTGTGACCGTAGTCGGGAAGATCGTAAATAAAAAATAGAAGTTAACATAATGGTATTAAACGTGGGTGTTGTCACTGTTGTGACATTTCGCTCCAAGCCCCCGTCAGCAGCTGCATGCCTACTTGCGAGTTATTATAAGTAATACCATGGTTTTTAAGAATATAGTGATTAAATCTCCCGCAAACCGAGGACTGTTTGTGAAAGTCCCGAGGGAAAGACAGCGGGCGAAGCCCAAAGGCGTCCCGAGGGACTTTCACTAACAGTCCTCGGTTTGCGAGAGATTTAATCACTATATTCTTAAAAACCATGGTATTAGTTTGTAATACCATGATCACCGAGGTGAAACTAGTGTTTTCATAATTAATTGATAGTAGGAGTATTGTGTAGTACAATGCATGATCAGTGATGTATTGTACAATTTTCCATTGTTTGGAAATTTGTTTGTGAATAAGCAATTAAGGCTTGTATAGATTATAAAGAACGTGCAAGTTCGAAACTAGATTTCAGCGGGCTACTACAAGGAGCTAGTTGTGGAACTGTGAACATCAACATTAATATCAGTAAATAAATCACTGTCTTTATGATATAATTGTGTGAAATGTTTAGTGAAAAGTGAATATTAATCAGTATATAGGGTAATTAACACTTTATCTTAGTGTCATTAACATTGTGGTTTAATTATTTTCTTTGTTGTGTAAAACGTATTAAGAAAACTCTTTGTCGTGTCTTCGAATTTTGGCTCATGAATTTTAATCAGGGAGAAATTATTAACAACGAAAAACAAGGAGTACTACTCTTGTACGATAATATGATATGTTCTACCCTATGTATTTGAACCTAAAAAGTTTATGTTACAAATTTAGTTACGCTGTATTTCAACTTAACACTATATATTTACTAATAATAGTTTGTTTATTGGCATGTGTCAGCCTCACGGCCACAGGTTTTTATGGTATAGTTGGACACAATAATCAACATTTTACTGCAATACTTTACTTCTATTATTAAAATCTAAATTAAAATTCTAAATCAACAAGCGATATCTTCAACAAGTATCTGACTTCTACTCGTATTACATCACTCTTCTTGTCTCATTTATGTGCGTGTCATCTGCACACATATATAATTTACCGCACATGCACCGTCTAGCTATCTAATGCGCTTATTAATCTATACTTATACTTAATTAATGACAACTCTCAATGACATCCACGCTTATTTCGCGCTCGTACATGACATTTCTGCTTCATATGACACAATCATATACAGGAACCATAACAGAATTCTAATAAATATGCGCGAGTCTATAAACTAACATTGGCGAATAAAAACTGGAATTTAGATTAGATATTAGACAAGATGCTCTGTATATCCTCTAATATGCCCTAACAAACAAAAAATGTTGTTGAATTTTTTTAATGTTCAGATGCTCTTCCCTACAAATAATCGCTCCAAACTGGCGGTTTCCTTTGTATCTGTCCAGGGCTGGCCTTATTATTCAAAAGACCTTTTACCCGAGAAATATCGAGATCATACTCAGCCATCTCAGGATGATCTTCTCCGAAGAGTTTTACTAGGATTTGTAGAGCTTTCTCTTTGGACTCTAATGCTGACTTGTAATCCTTCATTTCCTGTTGTGCGATCCCAATTTGGGTATAACTATCAGCTGTGTCGGGATGATCTTCTCCAAACAATTTCAATCTAATTTGAAGAGATTTGTTGTGCGAGTCTAATGCGGATTTGTAGTTTCCCATCTCACATTGTGTGGCTCCAATGTCGCCGTAAATACCAGCAGCGTCAGGATGATTTTCTCCATGTAAATTCATACTGATTCTTAGAGCATGTTTATGCGAATTTAATGCAGACTTGTAATCTTTCATCTCACGTTGTGTGATTCCCAGGCTGCGATAACTTACAACAGTATCGTCGTGGTATTCACCATACAGTTTCAGTCGCGCTTGTACGACATATTGATGCAGGTCAAGTGCTGCGTGGAGGTTCCTCATTGAACGTTGTATGATACCAATTTCACGATACGTCTCTACGGTGTCTGGATGATTTTCTCCATATATTTTTAATCTGACTTCGAGAGCTTTTTGTTTCGATTCTAACGCTGACTTGTAATTTTTCATCGTATGTTGTGTAGAGCCGATGTTGGAATAACTATTTGCTGTGTCGGGATGATCTTCTCCAAATAGTTTTAATCTGATTTCGAAAGCTTTTTGATATGAAACTAATGCTGACTTGAAATCTTTCTTCTCATGATATGTAACTCCAATGCTGTTGTAACCGTTAGCTGTGTCGGGATGATCTTCTCCAAATAGTTTTAATCTGATTTCGAAAGCTTTTTGATATGAAACTAATCCTGACTTGAAATCTTTCATCGCATTTTGTGCGTATCCAATGTTGTGGTAACTGCTGGCTGTGTCAGGATGATCTTCTCCATATAGTTTCAATCTGATGTGAAAAGCTTTTTGATGTGAAACTAATGCTGACTTGAAATCTTTCATCGCATTTTGCGTGCATCCAGTGTTGTGGTAACTGGTAGCTGTGTGAGGATGATCTTCTCCATATAGTTTCAATCTGATGTGAAGAGCTTTTTGAAGTGAAACTAATCCTGACTTAAAATCTTTTAATTCATGTTGTGCATATCCAATCTCGTTGTAACTGTTAGCTGTGTCGGGATGATCTTCTCCATATAGTTTCAATCTGATGTGAAGAGCTTTTTGATGTGAAACTAATCCTGACTTGAAATCTTTCATCTCATTTTGTGCGTATCCAATGTTGTTGTAGCTGCTGGCTGTGTTGGGATGATCTTCTCCATATAGTTTCAATCTGATGTGAAGAGCTTTTTGATGTGAAACTAATCCTGACTTGAAATCTTTCATCTTATTATGTGTGCATCCAATGTTGTGGTAACTATCAGCTGTGTCGGGATGATCTTCTCCTAATAGTTTCAATCTGATGTGAAGAGCTTTTTGAAGTGAAACTAATCCTGACTTAAAATCTTTTAATTCATGTTGTGCATATCCAATCTCGTTGTAACTGTCAGCTGTGTCGGGATGATCTTCTCCAAATAGTTTCAATCTGATGTGAAGAGCTTTTTGATGTGAAACTAATGCTGACTTGAAATCTTTCATCTCATTTTGTGTGCATCCAATGCTGCTGTAACTGTTAGCTGTGTCGGGATGATCTTCTCCATATAGTTTCAATCTGATGTGAAGAGCTTTTTGATGTGAAACTAATGCTGACTTGAAATATTTCATCATATTTTGTATGATTCCAATGTTGTAATAACTGTTAGCTGTGTCGGGATGATCTTCTCCGTATTGCTTTAGACTAATTTTAAGAGCTTTTTGTTTAGATGCCAGTTGTGAATCACGTTTAACCATTTCTGTTTGTAATTTAGCCTAAGAAAGTAATTGCCCTTAGATGAGTTTTTTGTATACTTTTTTTTTTGGGGGGGGGTTAAATATTCATAAATTCGTCTTGTGCCTCACTTATTTCTTTTTATAGCGATTGTTTTTACGCCTATTTCAACATTAATATGTAAAAATTTCTCCCTCCCCGCAATTAGGCTCGAAGATTCCTCTAACACACTCATCGGTTATAAGAAAACAATCGCAAAATTTAACTGCCTTCAGTTTTCCTACCTCCTTATCTTTATTACCATCCTCCACATCACTAATAACAAGACTTTTGATGTCGCTAACAGAAATATTCTTGGTCCGGGACCTGCGTTTTTTATGAATAGATGAAGTTAAAAATTACAATATCGACTATAATATATTATTATATGGCACGCGGTCTTGTGACTAAATGGCGTGCGCTGATTGGTTCTTTCCCGGTCTGGAATGCCCCCATATTAGACTGTTGTCGTGGTAACGGTCCAACTCTCATATTATTGAACAAAAACAAGCTTGCACTTTCATTTTTGACCCGAAAAATATCGACGGAGAATGGACGAAGAAGAGCATTATTAATTTTGGTACATGTGAATATTATATTTATTCATCTTTGATTTTTGTTTATATTACTGTACCATTCTTATTTAACGAGTATAAAACAAAGTTTTGGAAGACACTTCAGTGCTTGCTTGGCGACTGGCTGGCGAAAGAGCCGGCAAGAATGTTGCAGCGCATTGTATAAATAAATAAACTAAATACTGTATGCCATATAATAAATCCCTTATTAACCGAATACGTTCGGTCCGTACTGGAAAAATATCAGACTTCGGTCTTTTATGTACGGACCTGGCTATCGCTCGGTCCATACTGTCAAGACCTCGGTCTGATATTTTTCTAGTACAGACCTCAAATTCGGTTAATAAGTGGTATGTACTATACTTCGAACAGTGTAATTCTCTATTAAGAAAGTTAGCGCGTTATTGTTTGGTCAAGCTACCTCGTATAGTAGCTGATAATATACCAAGCTGTCCTTTTAAAGTGGAGGTGAAGCCCGTTCTGCGCATCGGTTCTGCTCGCAACATGTGAGTGCGTGAAAGTTCTAATGTTTCGTAACGTAACGAACCTAAATAATTTTAGATATAAAGAGTATGATGCTCAAATTTCAAACGAACCGTTTGTTTACATACGGACTTGACTTCCGGAAGCACTTAACATCATGACAGTCGTTTTCTCAAAGCTATTTATAACGGGTGTATCTAAACATTGTAAAGATACTTTAAAGCCAAAAATAGCCCGACAAAAGGAACGCAAAGAACAGCAGGGGAAAAAAATGGTCGGATGTGGAAACGAAGGATTTAATAGAAGCTTGGGGTAATGAAATCACTCAACACGTTATGATAAACAAAAACACCGAAACTAAAACAAAGAGATTTGTTTTTTAAACAACGCATGATTTTATCACATTTTTACTCCATGGCCTAAAGCTTTGTCTCCAATTCCTTCTTTTCCTCAATTAAGCCATGGCTATTTGATTGAATTGTTGCTTCTCTGCGTTGTTAATACCCGCCATTTAAGTTTCCTGCCAGAGAATGGTAGTACACGGCTGACTTATATATATAGAAACGGCGTTTGGTTATGGGTGCCAAAAGTATCATATTGAGCGCTTTTAGGATTTTGTGGCGCGCGAGATGAGAAAGAAAAATTCCGTTTAAACACACTGTGCATGGTGCCAATTTCTTTTGCCTACGTTCCAAAAATTAAGCGTGCATAATTTGCATTGTGACACAACCTCGTACCCAGGGCATTTTGCCTGATTGTGACATGCATAATTTGTGGTTATATTTTATGTAAGAGTTATTAAAGTGTGACATGGTTTAATGCCCCCTGCGGCGGTTCGATGCACTCGCAACGTAATTCTGCTTCTACGAAATGTTCATTACCGAAAAGTCATTGTAGTGTAAAAACAGTAGTGTAATAAGCGCAAAACTTCCGCAATTGCCATATATAAATCCATTAAAATCATGAATTGTAATGCAAGTTGCATAAAAATTACACTGTTTAATATGGCCTTATCAGGGAATGTGCGAAAGATTTGTTACTTGGGTGGTTCAAAATTTCAAATCGGAGTTTCTTGTGACTATGAAAAACTCACTCGTGTATATTCATGTTATATCCAAATTGAACTCGAAACCATGCTATTCATTATACATATAGTTACAAAGCATTTCGTTTTCACCACCCTTCTCCCCACCCCTTCCAAGAAAAATATGGGCTATATTGGACGACTAGCGCTTTAGACTAATTTATTACCTCGGCGATAAAAAGGACATTTTCTGAAAGAACTTATTGAACTTAGTAAAACTGTCAAGTTTGGCTGCGAATTTTTGTAAATTTCGGAAAATATAGCCATGCGAAGTTCACGAATTTTGTATACTTTTTGATACGGCCGGAAGTGTGTCCCTAATTTAGTTACGCATTTCCATATGCCATCTTCGCATGCCTATATTTTCCGTATTTTACAAAATTTCGCAGATAAACTTTGCATTGCACTATATTAAGAAAGATCTTTTTAACTGCATGTGATGATTTATTTTCTTGTTACTTCCATCAAAAATTAGTCTAAATCGGAAATCGTCCATTGGGCTATAAATTATTCTCGGTAATAGATTGCATAATAATTTCGTAATAATCAGACATTTACCTCTTCATAATCACTTCCTTTGTTTCATTCACCTCCTCAATGTTTTCAATCTTCACCTTCAGTCCTTCCACTTTAATTCCAACTTTGGAAAACTCTTCCTGCAAGCGTTCCTTCATTCTTCCTGATTCATAATCCTCTAAGACTTCCAGAAACCTTTTTTCTGTGAAACAATGTAACTCAACACGCAAAGATCCAGGTTTAACGTCAGGAGGATCTTGACCATCGTTGTTGCCACCAAGAGCATTTTGCACTGCTAGGTCCACTAATGGTCTCAGTAATTTATAACCAGCATACAGAGCGCCGAGACCCAAACCTAGTCTAATGACTGTGTCGCACACGTTATTTACCACTTCCACATTGTCTGTCTCGATATGGAAAAAAAATTTTAAACCGAAAAGGGATCCGCCCCCTCGTATAACGTGTATAACTGCCGAAGGTGATTCAGCCATTCAGGTTATTCGAGACAACAAACTAAAAAACAAAAGTTTAGAACGTAAAGAATTTGTGTGAGGCACTTGGCGCTACCTCACGTCATCGTAGGAACTCGGAACTACTTTATACAATCCTTGAAATATTTTCTGCTTTTTCTGCTTTCGTAATGATTTTATACGTATACTGAGCAACACTATTATACTACCTAGCAACATATAGCTGCTTTTATTTTCAGAAATAAAGACTAATATGTTACAGCAAAGCCACCTACAAGATTTAATTTTGGCATTTTGACAATAATAATATACAGTGGGGGTCAAAAGTCTGAGTCCAGCTGATAATATTTTTTTTAATTTACAATAAATGATATCTTGTGAGTTGGAAAGTGGATTTGTTGATATGCACTTGCGCATTATATGCACAGCTTTGTATAAAAATTAAACTTCTCTTTACATGTGGAAGTCTGGCTGTATTTTTGTAGGAGAATACAAAACACGATTGGCACTGTATTTTATGAAAATCCTTAGAAAAATTATCTATTTCTAGGCAAAGATTTTGAAACTGTGCGCTCTTAATCACCAATTAAGCAAAGTTCAAATTTACTCACCACCCAATAATTCACATGCATGCATCCTTACAGAATTATCATGCAGAACGACCGTCGACCAGATATAAAGTAGCTACGATTTGAATGGAAATTGCCCATATTTACCTGTTTTAAAACCCGAAATTCTACCAAAGTTTATAAGCCATACTACAGTCTAATAATTAAGAGTTACAATTTAATATTCTGAAAGTTTATCACTGTTAACAGAAAAAGAAACAGTGGATATTTTTAAAGTCCGAGATCTGAATAAATATAGCCGCGAAATAAAATAAATTAATAATCACTTGGTAATAATCGTCGCTTCGTAAGGGCAAACGAAGCTGTCGTGACAAACGAATCTGGTATCGGTTGAATTAATCACTGCATGAAAAACCGCGTATTCACAGGTGAATACGTGCGAATATGAGTTCGAATATGGTCCATATTCACACGTATTCACAGATATTCACTGTGAATATCCTCGGAATATTGGGGGTATTCCGATGTGAATACCTGTGAATAAAACACACCGCGTATTCTGACCTAGAATACCTTCGAATACTCTGTGAATATTTTTCAAGACCTAGTATTCACACTTCGGCATAGAAAATGTATTGTACGCATGAATACGGGATAATCAACGAGTTATATTGTGTAAATATTGCAGGAAATGCGTTTATGTACCACGGAATAGGCATTAAAGGTTGTTTCAGTTCAATGCCGGTGTCAACTGTTATCCAGCATTTCTTCTCATCACGGTCACAAATTGAAATTGCACTTGATTTGTTTAGGCGACAGACAATAAAGACAATAAATGTTACCAAACGCACGATGATTTTTATTTGATTAATTTTTTTGCTGCCGCAGGGATGTCGAGTATCGTATATCCTCAGTCGATGAGCGCTGAGTAGCCTCGTAAGTCGTAAAAAAGCTGTATAAAAAGAGAAATATCCATCAATTTCTTTAATTACCTGTGTAAAAGAAGTTATATATAAAAAAAATACTTTTATTTTTGCTTGGATACGTAAACACATGGGTAGAAAGTTGATGATTCTGTATCGTGTTGGGAAATCGTAGGAAATTTCCTTTGGGAAATTTCCTCTTCGACATGTTAGTGACAATTTTTGCGCCAAGGAATTGCGGCGAAATTGCGAATAAATGGCGAAATTCGGAGGTCGTATAACAATAACAAATAAATGTCTTTAAATGATTCCTCGCAAAAGTTGTCCAGTTCCCTTTGTTTACAAAACGATAACATGGCACAAATGTCAATTGGTTTCAACCAGGGCGCTTATATATAAATGCGTGGTTTCAACAGAAGTTCAAGCTGTTCAACTTTGAATTGTTAAAGATGTTCGCGATGCCCCAAAATAATTCTTGTGGCGGCGCTAAAATCATGTAAGTTATTTAATAATAACAAGAGTTATGTCATACTATAGTCCTGAAACAACACAACACAACAACAATAGTGCGAGGCCAACGCTTTTACGGCTGGGCTCATCACTTTTTTTGTTTTTATTAATATAAATAGATTACGATTGTGTTTATTGTAGCTAATTTGTACACAGCTAACTGTACCTGCTTGTAAATAAATAAATTGTATGATGGTTTTCATCAATCCTACCTCCATCACACACTAATTATAGTAGGTACAAATGTTTGCCATTTCAAAGCCATACTCAATACAAACAAAATTTAAAAGTTTGCCAATACTGAAAAGGGACATTACTTTCTTACCTACCACAAATATTCAGAAAGCTGCTGTAATCATAACTTTAACATAACATAACCCTTAGATAGACGTTTCAAGATGCATTGAAATGAGGTGCATTGGTGCATTTCATGAGGGTTTTTTATATTTTAGGCAAAATTTATATATTATAGATATATATTGTTATATAATTGTCACAGAATAGCTAATGATTGATTGCCAAAAGATTGAAATCTTAACAATCAGCTGCCCAAAGACAGAAATCTTAACAGCTTAGAAATCAAAGCCAGACTGTGTTTTTTAGTTATATATAATACATATTTTTTAACAAAATAATGGCCTATATTTTTCCTTTTAGCATATATGAATTATATTTACACTAATATTTACCACAGAATAGCTATTGAACTGGTTGCCAAAAGATAGGAATCTTAACAACCAGCTGCCCAAAGACAGAAATCTTAACAGCTTAGAAGTTCATGCTAGACTGTGTTTTTAAGTGAAGCCTTTTAACATTGCCCTCATCATAATTTATAACTGAGACTGTTTACTGATTTGTTTGCAATTACTTTTCCGTACATAAATTATAATCACAATACTTAAAGAATATACCATTAAAGTGTAGATGAGTTTACTACAGCTTCTCGATGTTTGCATACTAGGAGTAGCTATGTGTATATACAGCTT